AAGATAGATAGATTCCCTTGTTCTACTATAACCCAGTCCCCAGTGGGATGCAATTTTTCGTTATTTTGAAGCCCCATCCTGGCTCTTGCCAGGGGCCGCAATATAGCTCGACCATAAATATGACGCGGTTTTCGTGACCTCTGCACGGGTGATCTTCATCCACATGGTGGCACTTTGTGTCATAGGGTGTTTAACGCTTGAATGATGTCCTAGTGGGGTAAAATATACTACTACTACTACTACTACTACTACTACTACTACTACTACTACTACTACTACTACTACTACTACTACTACTACTACTACTACTACTACTACTACTACTACTACTACTACTACTACTACTACTACTACTACTACTACTACTACTTCTACTACTACTACTACTACTACTACTACTACTACTACTACTACTACTACTACTACTACTACTACTACTACTACTACTACTACATCGCCTTGTGGTATGCAATTTGTAGTTACTCTGAAGCCCCCCCCCCCCCCCTCTTGGTTTTTGCCGTGGGCCCTAAATATAGCTGGGTCTGAAATAAGGCCTAACGGCTAAACGGGGTTTCTGGGGCCTCTCCACAGGTGATCCTCCCCCGCATGGTGGCACCTTGTGTCACCGGGTGTTTATCGCTTTGTGTGATGTCCTGGTGGGGTACAACATACATGCATACAGACGGTACTACTAATAATCATCGAACGGGTCGCCCACTGACTCGCCCACTTCGTCGCCGGTCGGGACAGTATTTAGGTCTGTCTCATCTGATCGCATCAACACTACAGGAGTCCTTTTTCGGGGTTTCAACTGGGTTTCTTATCATTGGTTCGCCGGTAGACGAGTTCGTCGCCAGTAGGGCATTATTTGGATGTCTCCTTTGATCGCATCATTACTACAGGAGTCCTTTTCATGGCTCTGTGTCGCGCACAGTGCTAAGCTGTTTAATTTGGCGCACATAACCTAGTCACAATTGTAACCTAAAGCTCCTCCTTCGGGGATGATAATTGAACTTGAAGATTTTGTTTTTGTCAGTAAAGCAACGGATCGGTGTTTCACATCTGAACCATGGCACTTCGGGCCACAAGGAGTTAATCGTGCATTCTGCGGTCCTTGTGGTGTACTATTTCACTCACACAACCTCAACAGACAGCAGTTGTGTGTTGAGTACAATAAACACACACAACCTCAACAGACAGCAGTTGTGTGTTGAGTACACGAAACACACACAACTTCAACAGACAGCAGTTCTGTGTTGAGTACACTAAACACACACAACCTCAACAGACAGCAGTTGTGTATTGAGTACACTAAACACACACAACCTAAACAGACAGCAGTTCTGTGTTGAGTACACTAAACACAAACAACCTCAACATACAGCAGTTGTGTGTTGAGTAAATTAAACACACACAACCTTAATAGACAGCAGTTGTGTAAGGAGTACACTAAACACACACAACCTCAACAGACAGCAGTTGTGTATTGAGTACACTAAACACACACAACCTCAACAGACAGCAGTTCTGTGTTGAGTATACTAAACAGACACAACCTCAACAGACAGCAGTTCTGTGTTGAGTACACTAAACACACACAATCAAACAGTAACATTTGTAAATCACTTAAACAATAGACACCAAACAGTTTCTCTACAGTATTCTTCTACAGTTGTATGCTATGACTAATACAAGCCCGGGACACCTAAATAATGTATAATATTTGACAACGGTATAGGCCACTATCTGTATACAGTTGGTTAACGTGTTACATAACCACATATCAGGGGCGCCCCCACACTTGTATTAGTCATGTGTCTACAATTGTATATGAATGCTATAAACAAAACACACACAAATTATTGTCTTGTGTCCACTAAATTATATGACTACATTGGATTGGATTTTTTACCCCACCAGGACATCACACAAGCGATAAACACCCGATGACACAAAGTGCCACCATGCGGATGAGGATCGCCGTGGAGAGGTCCCAGAAACCGCGTTCAGACATTTGGCCATATTTATGGCCTGCCTATATTGCGGCCCCTGGCAAAAGCCAGAGTAGGGCTTCAAATGACAAAAAATTTCGTCCTGAAAAGGACGAAACTGCAGAGGTCGCGGTAGAAAGCATACTTTGGATATTATTTCCAGGATATGTAGATGTATTAGGAAATGAACAGGCGGATAGACTAGCTGGTTCTGCGCAACTGGGTGAATTGATGCTTGGCGAGATAGGCTATGTGTGGTCCCTTTGGCAGGGGAAATGGTAAGTGAACATTGCGGAGGTACAGATGGATTATCACGGTCTGCAGAAAATGGGGCTGCGTGGAGCGACCGGTGGATTTGGTCGACGATTAGCGCTTAAATTGATATCTGAGACGGATATACAGTCAGACTACTAAAAAGTACTATTGGAATGGAAACTATGCACTTGCTGCTGAAGATGGTGACAAAGCGTTTATGGGAATGTTCCGAGCGCTGGGATCAATTCCTAATTAAAAATAAACATTAATTATCACGTGCGTTTTAAAAGTTTATATTACCCAAAAAATAAAGCCCCACCCTGAATATATCCCGGACTTGCGACCGGGTGATTTTCATCCAAATGATGGCACTTTGGGTCACCTGGTGTTTGTTGCTCACTGTGTGACCTTGGTGGGCCTAAACGTCAGTCAGTAAAGGGGCCCTAGTACAGTCCAACAAGTGAACGGGTGTCTGGGACTTGCGCCTGGGGGATTCCCATCTGAATGGTGGCACTTTGTATTACCGGGCGTTTAAACCCACGTGCAGACCTTGTGGGGTTGAAGGTCAGTCATTTACATGGTAATATCGCACCAATGTGGGATTTTTTTTTTTAAATATCGGGGGGGGGGGGGGGGGGGATTTTAAAGCCCACGTTGACTGTGAGGCCCTGTATACAACCTAATCAAATAAGACTCGTAGGCCTACAACAGATTGTACACTTTATTGCCCGGCATATTTCGCTGCATCTCTTCATGTGCACTCTACAGTAACATTTGATTAAAATTAAGCAAATTAATGAATCCTTCGAACTGGAAAACAAAACAATTATCGGAGATTGAGATTTGTGGAAGCGACCGCTGGAACCCGGTTTAGTCCAGAATTATCTAGACAAAAGGACATGCCTTACGTTTTCCCTGGTGAAACAAACCGTTTTTGATTGTCCTCGATTTTGGGGATTGTGTACACGAACATTTGACGATTCTCATTTTTAATGTTTTGTTAATCTCTCTATAATTTGTGCACCTTATTAAAGACAGTTTTAGCCGTTCCTATTCTCTTTTTGATTTATGTTTCCCTTCTTCCGTCGGCTCTGTAGCTAAGTCGATGCGAACGCTTCGTAATGCCGGGCTGCCGGGTTAGATCCCAGCTGCGGGTCATGTGCCTTGCACTGGTTTCGACAGTGGTATCAAGAAAGCCGACCGTCCACGAAGCAATGGCAAACTATTGGAAGTAAATTTGCCTAGAAAAACCACACAACAGCCAGGGGCTGTTGGTGTTGGTTCTGCAGCGTCCTGTAAAGAATACGCGACTAATCTCCCCTTCTTCCATCATATATTACTATGTGTTCTAGATAGGAGGAATTTGTTACTTGTTCTAATAGCTCTCCATTGACTGTGAGTTCAATGTTGGCAGCTCTTTTCCATTGGTAATTACCATAGTTTTTGTTTCTCGAAAGTTATTGTCCAGACTATACTCTGAACTCCGCCTGCTGACTTGGTCTACTAGTTCTGGTAACTTCTGCTCGCTTTCTGCTAGTAGCAATGTGTCATCCGCATATCTCAGATTAAAAAAAAATTTTTTTTTTCAAAATTAATATTCAGTCTGGGAATTTCCTCAAATAACGAACTGTTGAAAGATTCCTTATTAACCAACGTCATCCTCATGTAGGACGCAATTTTTCGTTATTTTGAAAGCCCTCACCCGGCTTTTGCTAGGGGCCGTGATATAACCTAGTGGTTAATCATGGTTTCTGGGACCTCTCCACGGGTGATCCTCATTCGCGTGGCGGCACTGACTGACTGACTGACAGACTTTCTACCCCACCAGGACATAACACAAGCGATAAACACAAGATGACACAAAGTGCCACCATGTGGATGAGGGTCGCCGTGGAGAGGTCCCAGAAACCGCTTTCAGACAATTAGCCATATTTATGGCCTGCCCATATTGCGGCCCCTGGCAAAAGCCAGGGTGGGGCTTCAAAAAAATAAAAAATAATGTCCTATAAAGGACGAAACTGGATGATAATCATAACGTGGTGGCACTGTGTCACCGGGTGTTTATAGCTCTGCTTGATGTCAATGGTGAGGTAAAATTTACCTTACTTGTTGAAAGATTTGCAAAGTTGGGCTGTTAGTCAAATGTACCTAAACAGAATGGAAAAGCAGAAAGATACGGTGACGATGGAATTGACGAAAAAGAATTGTTAAAAACAAATTTTTTTAAAATTATTAAGGTAGGTAAAAGTTTAATTTCCTAACTACCTAGTATTATTTTACAGTCTTGGGGTATTTAAAAAATATTTGGCTTACATCTTGGGTTTTATCAGCCTCACCTTGGGGTTTGATAAAAAGACAACCGACAGCCCAACTTCATCGCGCTTTTTTCTCTCTTGTGGTGAATTAAAGTATTCTGCCAAATTTACGCTGATATTACTCTTGTCAGAGCCATTTTGAGTCAAAATGGGTGAAATTGTTGAAGTCAAAGTGAGTGATACCATTCAATATGATGATACAGTTACACCAACAAAGAAGCGAAAATGGTACGCTCAGTGTTTTAAAGAGGAATGGACAACTGAAGCGCAATATAAAGATTGGCTAGAACAGGACAGGAATGATCACAAGTCCAGTTATTGTAAGTGTTGTAACGTGACTCTGAAACATGCAAATAAATCCATGCTATCAAGACATCAAGATACTCTGAAGCATATAACACAATTTGAGATCTATAAAAAAAGTCTTGATGTGGCCGGAATGTTAACGACCGAAACTTCTACAGCGATCTCTGCCATCGAACACATTTCAAACAACATGTCTGACCGGCCAGTGGTCTACATCCAGCGTTCCGAGTCGTTCAGTGCCTGCCACAGATTGCATAGGTAAGGAGATATTTGTGACTTTTTTTCAGCGATGTGTAAATTTTAAAATATAGTGTTATGATTGAACGATGTAATAATTTCATCAGGTGTATTGATATATTGTGAGAGCAACAATTGTTCAACGCCCGCCCGGCGGAATATTTTATTACAATTATAACGAAACTTGAACGGGGTTTCCCGATGTGTACCTCATTCCTTAAGAGGTGTGTTAATCCTGAAACTGCGTGCAAATGAGAACCGAAATAAAGGAATACTACCAAATAATCACATTTCCCTACGCCTTACTTACACTCAAGAGTTTCACCAGTCTAGTAGTAGTATAGCAGTATAGCCATTATGCCCCCCCCCCCCTCCCTTGCGCTTTCTCATTATCAATTGTCTCCAGGGCATGGCGATGTTATGGGAAACAAGCAGCCAGAGAGACTGGTCGGTTCTGCACCACTTGATGGTGAATTGATGGACAGACTAGATGTTGTGAGGCCCTTTGGAAGTGAGTGAACAGTGCAGAGGCACAAATAGATTATTACGCTCTAAGAGGAGTGGCACTGCGAGGAGTTACCAGGGAACTGACTGATGCTAAACATTTAAGGGAAAGGCAATACAATCAAACAGTCAGTTACTAGTGCTATCGCAAGTGGAACTCTCTGCTTGCTGCTGAAGATGGGAATTGAGCACTTATGGGGGTGTCCCGAGAGCTGTGATGTCGATTCCTAATTAAACATTCAAATTCTTTGTAGGTTAAACAGAGTATCTAGGATTTTCCCTGTTGGCTACCAGGATGATATTCTTGAATTTGAAGTTGAGAAGGGATTGACTTCATGGACTCAAGTTTGATCACAAATGGTTTCGTCTCTGTGCCCAGCACAGCTAGCCCACTGCCAAGAGTGCCACTCAAAGTACGGGCTCCTCAGTTCCAGTGATGATCTCAAGGATGTGTACAACAATTGCACTCAAGGACTTGACAGTTTGGTCCATGAAACAAACCCATGACCTTCTGAGTTCCCACCTACCTACCAACTCTGCCAGAAACATTCTCCTCAGGCAGTTCTTCATCCTATGGGCTGGCACGTTCACAAGCACAATTTTCTCCTAACTTTACCTAGTGGCTTCCTGACATGACCTTAATCTTAAAGGCATTCTAGTCAAGATCCAGTTACTTCCTACCTTTGAGCCCCACTTACTCACAGACTCTTGCATAGACCTACCTAAATGCAGGATATGTCCGTATATGGTTCAGGTGGATAGTCTGGCATTCCCTAATGCAACTTTCCACATATATGAGGCATTCTATTGGACGAACCGCAATGTAATTTATGCCATCATCAGAAAATTATGTGTTAAGAAATACATTGGTTGAAACATGGTTATGGCTAATTGACAAGTTCAGGCAACATCTTTCTGATGTGCAGAATAGTTCCCTCAAAGCAATACCTGCATATCAGTTCTCAAGGTCACCAAGGTGTCTTTAGCATGGAGGTTACGGCCATTAAGTCTACCTACTCCTATGGCAAGAGTTCATTAATCTCTTGAGAATGGCCTTATCTATCTAATGGGCTACAGCTTGCCTAAGAGACTTATTGTCCAGTATAGGTTTACCTAATATTTTGTATTATGGCCCTTACCTGCCACAGTCTTTATTGAATAGTATTTATTTCATGTTTACACGTGTGACAGACAAACACGTTGATTTCTTTTGAAGTTACCTCAGCAAAATGGTGTTTGTGTATTCGTGTATGTAAATGTAACATGATCTGTTCTTGTCATGTGCTGAGGAAGGCTTTCAAGCCACAACTTGCACTTATCATTCGTGATCATATAAAGCTGACTGGTTTTTCTGATCATTTGGTTTATATGTTTCCTGATCCAGAGACAATGTGAAATCCCATTCTCTTTACAATGAAGCCCAGATAAATTTTCAGGCTTAATGCGCTGACCCAGTTTGATGGCCAACTACTCCAACACTTTTATCTTTTCTTCTCCTCGATCTTGCACTTCATACACCTCCAGATGTCTTTTTATGTTTGATAAAATGGTGTGTCAGCTTTTCATATACAAAAGTGAAAAGGAGTTAACTTAATTGTGAAAAACTCAAGTCAGTTGCCAGGTGTGTGCTTTATTATTGATGCAGGTAATATTCTGTTCAACCATTTTGGGTTGTCAACAGCGTTTTATTTTCTCACATATTGGATTTTTTTTTTTTTTTTTTAATGTCCTTTAGACAGTTCTGCTATTTATATTGTGCTCTCCATCTTCTACATAAAATATGTAGTGTTATCCTTTTTCTTGTCTCATAGGTTACAGTTATTTCTGATTTTGTATTTATAGATTTATATTCATAGTTTTATCACTTGCTTCAGTAACTCAGGGTTTTGGTCAGAGTTGAGTTTAGAATCAACATCACAGCACTTGGGACATTCCCATAAACACTTAAGCAGGAAGTACAGATTTTCAATTCTAATGGTATCACCAGCAGTCTGATAGTGTGTCCCTATTGCATTTTACCTGATTGTTGGAACATTGGTCATCAGGGTGTTATCAGCAGTTAGTCTTACCATTATCAGTTATCAGGTCCTTTACAGAACATCATTCTCATCCATAGATGTGCCTGGAGTGATGTGAAGATAATCTCATCATTCTCATCATGGCAAGCCTGAAAATCTCTTTCTCAAACCAGTTCTTCTGCCCTATGTGCTTTTATAGGCAATGTATCATGTGTCTGGTATTGACCTTCTAGGAGGTCTACCTCTTTTTCCAGAATATATACCCTTTGTCAGCGCTGTTTCCAGGCCAACATAGTGTTTATACCCCAGCTTTCGGGACAAGATGCTGTTAATGAGCCAGTTCTGTTAGTCTTACTTTAACAGACACAAGTATGGAAATACTGCCTGTTTTTTATTCTTTAATGTTGTCATTAGGGCTGAACCGAATATTCGCTTTGTATTCGCTTCGGGGCCGAATTGTGGACCTAATAACTATTCGGTATTCGGCCAAATAGTTGCGGTTGGGCCTAATACGAATAGTGGTTACCTTACATCCGTTTCTGGACTGGTAGAAAATCAAGATTTCCCACCTTGGTTCATACTGTCAAGCGTTATCTTTGCGCACCACCTACGAGCGTACACCAAGTGAACGTCTGATTAGTACAACTGGAAATACCTACAGTGAGACAAAAAGCTGCCTTAATGCTGACAACATGGAATTATTTTTTTTTTTTTTTTGAAAGCTAATGCCGCTTTCATGGATTAACTAAGCTGTCAGTGACAATTTATAAGTTTAGTTACTCGTTATAAAACTAAGAATACTTTCATTCCTATGTATTAGTTACCACAGACCGACTGACTGAAGGATGCAAAACATGAAATGTTTTTAAATGTTTACTATTCTGTACTACATTTTGTGAAGTAAAATTTCAGCGCACATTTGACATTTTCTTTTTAGATCCATTTTATACACGAAAGTGGAAGAATGGGCCTCGGTTTGAATAATGGGAAGACAGAAGTAATGGTGGTATCAAAGAAAATAATTATTCCTAAATGTGTAATAAAAGCAATGGTTTTATTCTGTGATAAGTACAGAAATTTAAGTATCTGGGCACATGGATAACATCAGATGGAAGATGCATTACTGAAAAAAGAAACAGAATAGGACAGGTAAAAACTGCATTTTATAAAATGAAGAACATCTTATGCAATATATCTTTGCCATTGAAGGTTAGAAAAAGAATTCTTGCTTGCTAAACACATCCAGTTTTAACATATGGATGTAAGTCCTGGACAATCGGTAGGGAGGCCTAACAATTTAGAGATGTGGTTTTACAGAACAATGCAAAAAATACCTTGGACAGGGAGAAAAAAAAGCAACCAAGAGGTTTTGACAGAGGCGGGAGCCCGAAGACAACTACTCACAGACATCAGAAGGAGACAGTCATCACTTTTCGGCCATGTTATAAGATGAGATAAAATGGAACATATGGTGACCACTGGAAAGATATGTGAAAGGAGGAATAGAGGAAGACAACGAGAGAAGATTCTTGACAGTCTTGTTGCATGGCATAGAGGTGTGTCAGCACTAATACGTGCTGCAGGAGATCGCAGATTGTAAAGAGGCAAAATCGCCCATGTCAGTCGGTAAAGCACCTGATGATGATGATTCACTATTCGTATTCGTATTTGACCAAATAGTTGGTCCAGCTATTCGTATTCGGCCGAATAGTGAAAATCACTATTCGGTACAGCCCTAGTTGTCATACATGATTCATTCTTGCTGTCTATCTCTAGCCATCAGCTCCCTTGTGGACTACATTTGAAAGAGTGCCATAGCTTTTCGGCACCCAATTTTTATTAATGTGTATGTGCGTGAATGAATGTGTATGTGTATGTATTCATGTGGAACCAGTTTCAGTGGCTTTATTGTAAAATCATGAAAGAAATATCAACAGCAGAATCAAACAGAGCATTTATTTTGAATGAATTGTGCACTGCAATCATTCAGGTAAGTATCACATTGCTTAGGTAGATACAGATGCTGTCCGCTAAAATGGATTGTGGTTGCTCACTCAGCCAAGCGTTTACACCATCAACATCCAGGGTTCCCACAGTGAACACACTTTCTGATATTGCAGTTTCTTACGAACAATCTTGTGAACTGTCCCAGTTGACACATTGAATTCTTTCACTTGCAAACATATGCTACAACAGTGGTCACCTGTTGCTCTCTAATTTTGTTTTTCTTTTTCATTGCAACATTTGCTTGACCTGGCCATGGGAAATCTGTTATGAACTTGCATCCTTTTAGAAACATTTATGCCCTGGCTGTCACTTGTGTTTGATACACATTTGTTACATTATGCTGCATGCATTCTTCAGTGAATCAGACATCATTCAGATGGAGAGAATAAAAACTACGCTGGAGTGCACGACTGCTTTACATAAAGAAGATGTATTTCTGATATTTTGAAACTTGTTGCTTTCATTGTTTCCTACTTCCTGTCCCCAGCCGACATCTGTCCAATGCAGACAACGCTGCCCTGTATGGGAAGTGCAATCATCCAAACGGTCATGGGCATAACTACAAAGGTGAGCAAGATTAGTTTCCAGATAAATAGAAATGCTCCCAGGCTCCCAGTTCCAGTTGTTAGAATCATAAAACAGTCAAAAGTTACAAGTTTACCTACAGTGTTAAACTTGTAACAGGTGTCTGTTATATTACAGTTGTGTGTGTTTAAAGTGTTACAGGTGAGTATGCATGTGTGTTTCCAACAATTACTGCAGAGGAACGAAACTCTGACTCTACAAGAGCATCATTTTGCCAGTTCTTCTTTATGGAGCGGAATGCTGGAGAATGACCAAAAAGGATGCACACAAACTGTCCACCTTCCACCACACATGTCTACGTACATTTATCAAAATATTCTGGCCAGATACAATCTCAAACACCAAACTACCTCAAGCCACAAACCAAGAAACTTTAGACAGTATGATTACCAAGAGAAGATGAAAATGGCTTGGCCACGTTATGAGAATGACTTCTGATATACCTGCCAAAACAGCTCTCACATGGACAGAGGGAAAAAGAAAACAGGGGCACCCAAAAACAACATGGAGATGAATGGTGGAAAGTGACCTGAGTGCGGCATCTTTGACATGGAAAACTGCACTGAAGATTGCACAGGACAGAAAAGCATGGAAAGTCCTCTCTGAAGCCTCATGTGCCACTAGGCATAACGAGAACTGATGATGCATGTGTGTTTACAGTGTTACAGGTGTGTATGCATGTGTGTTTACAGTGTTACAGGTGTGTATGCGTGTGTGTTTACAGTGTGTATGCGTGTGTGTACAGTATTATCATTGTTTAGTGTTTACTCTGTTATGGTTGTCAGTGTATTTGGGGAATGTATCTAACTGTCATAAAATTAAATGATATGATAAGAAACAGATAAACAAGAGCAGTGGAGATGTTCTTCTTTTTCGCGTTCACTGGCTGTAAACTCTGACAGAAAGTTCTAGTTGTTTGCCCACCTCTGGACTTTAGTCTTGTTCCAGAACCTGAGTGTTGCATGCACATCTGTTTATCATATCTGGCTTATTTTTATATGCAGACTGTTGGTTCCTAGCCTCTCAAGCGGATGCACTCGGACTTTGAATGAAACCTCCGATAAGTCAATTCTAACGACATGCTAGTTGGGGAGGCAGTGCGTCTATTCTTGTTTTCTTCAATATGGGGCTCTGGAACCCACATGGAGACTTGACCCTTGATCACTGCTGGCACATATGGTATGTGGTGCTAGATTCATATGTGTATACACCAGTCTGCACTCAGTGGCTGCCTCTGCTTCGTAGGACACTTCCTGGTGCCCATTTCTGGTTAGAACATTTTCGACAAGCTGTGGGTCGTTTCTGACTCCTTTGTCTCCGTGTCTGTACATTCAGTATATTTGCCCTGTCCATTCTTCTTCCTCCACATCCAGTCTCTGTCAGCTATTTCATTTCCTTGCACCCCAGCATCTGCTGGTGTGCGAGGCCAAGTTAGTCACGGGTGCACACACACACAAATATATGGCGAAAGGTGTCCGTCAGGTTTCAGCCATAGTTGACTTCCTGTGATGTTTCACTGACAGCGTTCCTTTCTGTGTTATTTCACTAACAGTTGACTTCCTGTGATGTTTCACTGACAGCGTTCCTTTCTGTGTTATTTCACTAACAGTTGACTTCCTGTGATGTTTCACTGACAGCGTTCCTTTCTGTGTTACTTCACTAACAGTTGACTTCCTGTGATGTTTCACTGACAGCGTTCCTTTCTGTGTTATTTCACTAACAGTTGGTTTGCTGTAATGTTTCTCCAGTAATTGACTTTCTGTGATGGTTCTCTGACAAATGACTTCTCCATTTTAATCTGTTCAGCTTTCTAGTCACATTTTCTGTTGTATTTATCACTTTTGGCTTCATATAATGATTATTTCTTGTTTCTTTCTCCACAGTAAAAGTTACTCTTAAAGGCCCGGTGAGTCCACCAGTTTACTTGTATTTTATTGCATGTCACACTTTCTGTTGGGGTTGGAGGTAGTTGTTTGTTTATCTGTTGTCGGGGTTAGCACTAGGTTGTATTGTCTGCTAGACAACGGAAAGAAATTTTGACGGTTTCCGTTTTGTGAGGTAATTTAGACAAAAATGACAAAATGATGAGGATGTGGTTAGTAGTTGTGTTCATTTGTTCACCTGAAAGGCCAGTGCTCGGCCCCAGTGACAGCTGGGCAAAAAAATAAGCACCATGTCTGGTTGAAGGGTTGTCATAACTCTGGCAGTTGTATTCAAACAACCGAGACTTAAACCCTAGGGGTTGGATTTCTTAATGTGCACAGGTAAAGTTTTGCACAAATTAATTCTAAGCAGGGTTTGGATAAACAACTGAAAAACTATTGTTTTTCTAATGATATATACATCCCTTCTTGGTAACATAGATAACTTACTATACTAAAGACAGCAAATTGTTTAAAGATGTTAGAAAAAAAAAGGAAAGCTAAATCAGACACTAAAAATCATGATCGGTGATAGGTGGGACAGGTAATTTTGTTTGTAGTCAGTGAGTGGAAATTGGTTTTGAAAGTTGGTGTGGTTCTTCTTGTTTTCGCTTTTTGATTTACACAGACAGGTTCTTGTGATAAACTTGACTGTTTTTATGAGTTCCTTTTTAGTCCCATACAACTTTGTGTACAGTGTTGACTCACTGGGCCAGTATTCCCTTCTTAATGGGCTGAACAAGGGACAGTCTTGCAGGACATGTTCTGTAGTCTGCACACACAGCCCACAAGGGCACAAAGGTGAACTACTTAGACGAAGCTTGTGCATATATATGCTGGTTATGTCCTGTTCTGAGACGTAGGATAATGACCAGCCCATGTCTGTCAAGTAAGTGGTAGTCATCTCTGGCTAGACTCTGTTCACTTCTAATAATATGTTACTGCATTCTCTTCCTGGTCACATTCTGCCCCTTTCTTAGCAAGCTGATGTGGTGATTTCAGTCATTGGAATGAGTGGATGTTGAGAGTCCAGTATTGAGTGTGAACAGTTGTACTGTACTCTTGCTGAAGGTGTCAGCTGACTGCATTGAAAGAAGAGATGCTTTGTGAAAATCTTTGCTGGTTTGTATTTAGAACCTCAGAAAGAGGTTCTTGCCTTACCTAATGTTAAAAAAGATTGTCCAGATGTGGCCGAGCCAAAATGGCAGAGGATTTTAGATGTCTGCACCTTTCAGCCCAACATCTGATTTCAGCATTTCCTTAATTAATTGCCTTTTACAACATGCTTGTTGTTTAAGAGCAGTGGGTATTTTTCTAACCCAAAATGATTCCCCAGAACCCAACAGGGGAAGAGTTAATGAAAACATTCATAAAAGAATAGGGAAAAAAATTTACATTAGAGGACATACTAAGTGACAAAGTTATAAAACTGGTTAGTGGTTCGATTTGCAACGACCACCTCCATATGATGATGGAATCTTGCTCTGGAAGTCCATGCATTAAAATACATTTGTTTCTGCAAGGTGTCCCAAAAGTTTCCTTATATAAGAAAACACATTTCAGTGTAGGCCTTCCACTTCTGAAGAACACACATAAACACGGCAGGAGTTCAGTGTGTCATGGATTTAGTCATGTGTTTTTTTTTCCTGTATAAGGAAACATTATGGGACACCCTGTACAGTAAACCACTGTCATCACTTGGAGTTTTTGCTGGAATCGTCAGTAATTCAGAAATAGAAACATTTTCTGCAGTTGGTGAGTTTGCAAGAATGCAAGCAATATATTCTCCTGCTCAAACCAGCCTAGATACCAACTAATAATGAACACAAATCAAGGCAGGAAAGTTTGAAAGAGGGAAGTGAAGCACATATTATTGCGACAACTTTATGTTATTAACGTGTAATTTGTGTCATTAATGCATCTGCTATTTTGATGTCAAGGTTGATCCAGTGACTGGAATGGTCATCAATATTGTAGACTTGAAACAATACATACAGGTATGTTTTTACATAAAGGTATATTTTTGTTTTGTTTAAATGTTAGATTCATTTACTACTAGTATTTTATTACAATTTGAATATATTTTCATATGTATGTATGTTTTTGTTTTGTTTTTGGGGTACTGTAGTTGTGAAACAACAACCTTGGAGATTGTTAAAAAAGCCAGAATAAGAGTGGCTGTAACAATACAGGTTAAGCAGAAGGAATAGCCAGTCTTTTTTTAAAACCGGGTCGGTCTCCCAAATGCCCAGCCTGGCCGCCCAATTACCCGGAGGATATTACAGGAGCAATACTAGAGGACACAACAAGTAAAGCTTGATGAAAGATTGAGTCCATTCAGTGTGCTGTGAATACATGTTCTACACTAGACCTAGAGCACAATAATGAGTTGTGAATCATCACACGTCTGTAACTCCAACATTGTTTCTTTGTCTTCTTAGTGTTCCCCGGCTGTAAACTAGGTGCAGAAAGTTCTGGTTGTTCGTTCACTTCTGGACTTTAAGATCTTATTCTAGAACTTGAGTTTTGCCTGAGCATCCATTTAACAGATCTGGGTTATTTATATGCAGACTGTTGGTTCCTCGCCTCTCAGGCAGATGTACTCTAATTTTCAAAGGAAACAACCTAATTAGTCATCTTTTGTGACATGTTTGTTAGGGGGGCAGTGGGTCTGTTCTTTTTTTCCCTCTAAAATGAGGCCCCAGAATCCAAAAGAGAGTTTCTTTATCTCAGATGTTGTTGAGTGACATACGACCAACATTAGGGCTGTCTGGTTTTAGTATTTTTTTTTTAGCAGCTGTTTTTATGTTGACATCTTTTCAGCACCAGATAAGATTTACTTTCTCGTTCCCTTTCCAGTCTTTTTGTACTTGGGTTCAAGAATTAGCATTGTTGCCCTCAGGATATTCCTACTTGGGTTGTGTCCCATTTTCTCAGCGGCCAATAAAGAGTTTCCTTTATGGTACCAGTGGCAGACTGTTTACAAGTGTGCCTCTCTTCTCCTCCATGCATGAGTGTTACTCCGACTCTCTGTTCACTTATTACTGAATCAGTCTCTCCAGCTGTGGTTGCTTTTCTGTCTCGAAATAAATATGTTTCCATTTTTTTTTTTCATTCTTCTTTTTCTGCGTTCATCTGAGGTTGTACATGTGTTGTGCCTGTTTACAGCTCAGCTACGATATTTGCGCCTTTCTGTTTAACTTCTTCAGTCATTCATTGCCCAGGCTAGCCTTTCCGATTGTGTCATTAATTTTTGATAGTTATTGCATTAAATTCTAGTACACTGTATTACTGTACTGTTAGCAGGAAGTCTGTGCTAGTGAGTGTACATGGAAAATAGGTGTTTAAATTGTTATAGGAAATAAATTAATTATTGCACTGTGATATTATGCTTTTCTCATGTGAAACTGTCATTTATTGCATAAACAACGTGCTAGATTAGAACGTACATTTTACAACTGTAGCCAGTTCTTCTTCCACACTTTCCCTTTAAAGGGCAATTGGCATGTTGTGTTTCGGTGTACAACTAGGCTGTGATATCTCTATCTTTCAGTCTGATACATCCAATTTCAGCATATCCTTAACTAGTTGCCTCCAATGATGTGCTGGTTAACGCCAGTGATATTATATTGACTTACATGTGAGAGAGACAGTGTGTAAGAAAGGAATACACAGATTGGGTGGATGAGACAGTTATGCAGGAAAGAAATAAAAGAAAGATATAAAAGCGTGAGAACCAAAGTCAGAGGGAAAGTACACCTATAGAAAAATTTGAGAAGTTATCTTGTCCTGCTGGTTTAAACAAACAATTATTTTTTTGCTGCAGGAGGCAATCATGTCTGTCCTGGACCACAAGAATGTCGATAAAGATGTACCATTTTTTAAACATCAAGTTAGGTAAAGTTTTACTTTGTTTTTCTGTTCTTATTTTACAGGACCTGTCGTTGTTTGCTACAAGCTGCTTTTATTTATTTTTATATTCTGATGACTTTAATTGCATTGAGTTCTTATATATCTAGATCCATGTATGTCCTAAGGTGGGTTGGCATAGATATGACTAACTCATCATAGATAGGACTTTAGCTGCAAATCTGATCACTAGATTCTTTAGTCAGTTACTAGTGGGAATAGCTAATCAAGAAGACAAAATGGTGTTGAAAAGGACGCACTGAGACAATATGTTGCTAGTAAAACTAGATTTTCTTTTAAACCCACAGGACAAAAGAAAAAGAGTAAGACCTAAAAGCATATGGAAAAGAGAATTTGAGGCTGAGATTAATAATTTAGGAAGGACCAGGAGGGAGATGAAGATGGCAACAGATCAAATGACATCTTGCTATTACTTTGTTGAAGACCTATGCTTCATAGGGCATAAAGGGCTGCCTAGAAATAAGAACAATATCTGGCTCCATGAATATCTTTTGTGTCTGTCAGCATGGCCAAACCATTTACAGTCTTTCGTTTCTAGCAGATGCCCAGGTAAAAAATAACCTCTATAAAAATGCTAAATGTAACATTAATCTCCCGACGCCCAGCCTATATACATACTAGGTCACTTCTGATTGGTAGTTCATGAACCTGTCACCTTGGCATAAGGTTACAGGGGTGTTCCGCCATGCTGTTGATATCGCGTGTTGTATATTTTAGCACGCCAGTGCTTTTAACGCTCTAAAAACATAGAGCACTAGCCCTAACCCAACCCCCTACAAAAGTGCTGCAACCTGTGTCAGGCATTCTCTTTCTCGTAATGAAAACGTAAATGGAAGACACCACAGAGAGCAAACAATCTAGTGGGATACACCCATAACCTTCAGGAAAGTCGACCAGCCCAACAAACTTGTGAATGAAAAGTGACCTACTCTATTTGGGGAGATTTGCTTTGAGTTCACCCAGATTATGAATAAAAATTGATGTGTTTTTTTTTTTTCCTAAACAGCTGAAGGCTGAAAACTTTGGTCTTGTTCCTGAACTAAAGATTTGTGTGCACTTATCTGACTTATTTGTATGCAGACTGTTGGTTCCTCGCCTCTCAGGCAGATGTGCTCCTACTTTGAAGGATACACCCCTAATAATTTGTCTTTTATGACATGCTTGATAGGGGGGCAGTGGATCTATTCTTGTGAGGCTGTGAAACCCACATGGAGAACAGCCATATGCTAAAACTGGTTCTGTGTAAAATGCATGAAGTCTTTTTCTGACCCTCATTGACACAGAATTATTGCATACAGTTTTCTAGACTAAGTATATAGTATTTCACATTGAAATATTTAATGTACTCCTTTCACTATTTATCTAATTACCCCATCCTCAGTGTTTACCAGAAACTAATGTTACCCATCACCTCAAATGACATTTAAAAAAATTTTGTACCTTTCTTAGTTCAATGGAGAACATCACAGTTTTCATCTGGAACAGCATGAAAGCCAAACTGGGAGATTTACTGTACGAGATCAAAGTACATGAGACAGATCACAATGTTGCTTGGTACAGGGGAGAGAAATCAAATTAGATTATTTCCTAGAGGTCCATGATGGAATATAATTATAATTTAAGAATGACCTTCAGTGATTGATTAAACAGTTTAAGCTGGCAGTATTTTACAGAAAATGTAACATATAACTTGTCGTGAAAAAATATGATTATGTTCACAACATAGTTCAGATTGTTATATAGTTCCATCTTTTTAGCACAGTGATATTACTGTAATTGATTTCATGTTATTTTCTGTGATACTTCTAAATTCTACAGATTCAAACTAAAGGTTAGTTTTAACTCTCCCCAAAATTATGATCTATCAATGCTGTGTATATCCTCAGTACGTTGCTGTATGTGCTTTTATTATGAATATGTAGGGGCTACATTTATTTCATAATTGTTACCTTTTTTTAAAACGCATTTTCATTACAGTAGTATACGCTATGTTGTGTCTTATTATTATAAAACTGATAAAAGCTATGGTTGTTCACTGTCATACTTGGGAAGTAGGCTGACTACATTCAGTGGTTAAAACTTTAAGAGTTAATGAGCAGTGGTTGCAGCAAAATGAACAGCAGAAGATATCAACTACTACTAGAGTTTACTGTCACAGTGAGAAACGGCAAAATCCTAAGGCTGTGTAGGTAACATACATGTAGGGCTGCAGGCAGGTGAATGAGAGCCACAGACACGTGAATGAGAGCACAGAGAAGTGATCTGAGCCAGAACTGAACCACACCACCAGTTCATGAATGAATGTGTTTCGTTAGTCGTTTTTGAGTTCTGCTTGTGTCAGCTGCACACATTCAGTGCTGATCTAACAATTAGGCTAAATTTTAAGTTTTTAAAAAGGTGTGTCCCATCTGAAGTCTTGTTTTTATAAGTTGACAGGGAAAGCCTGTACGCCTAAAAACTATTAATGGCTCAGATGAATAGAAACTGTCAGTTGATTGGTTGAACCCTAAGGTAATGAATTGGTTCGGTCATCTAGTGAAAATGCAGCCAGACCAAACTGCATATGAGATTTTTTTTTTTTTTATCAGAGCACCTGAAAGAAAGGTGAGGGGAAGACCAAGAAACAAATGAATTAAGGTGTCACTGAAACCTGCTAAAGATGAATGAATCGGTCACCCAAGCCACTGGAGACGCACATGACAAATACAGAAAACCGCAACACTCGATTTTGACCTGGTATAAATGAGAATATAAAAGAAAAATCCTAAAATATTCAGATTCTTGTGTGCAGTTAGAAAAGTTTCACTCTCTAAATTATACATATTTGGATTATGACAAAATTATGTTCCTTTCACTTAGTTGTGCATCTCTGTGGGTTTTAGAAAAAAAAGGTATATTTTAAATTTTGACTTCCACAGATTTCCAAGCACTATGAAAACTGTTCTTGCTGTTTCCATTATGTGTTTCTGTATATCTTTATCTATAGATGTGTGGCTGCACATCTTGAATACATCTGCACTATGAAAGATGAGTGTTTGGAGGGGCCAAATGTAAGACGGAGGCCTGCATGCTCAGTTTGTGAGCATTTGAAAATAAAATTTGTTTGATTGTTCAAGGTGCAGTTTTACTAACGTGGATTGGATTATTGTTTGCCTGATTTTTGTTATCTTTAACTTTCCTCTTTGGATTGTTAAGTGTAATTTACTTACTAGTGCATCTAATGTTTCATGTAGCACATATAACTTCTCATGCAATAACTTGTGACACAAACTCTAGCACTAGTGACATCTCGCTCAGGTGCTGAGTATACCCCTTTCTAGCCCCTTTCATCTCATCATTATAAGTAATAAAACTTCATCAATGCAACTTGTGTTTTGCCTTGAAATGCCAGCTATTGAGGTTTTATCTTTATCTCATGATGATTGGGTTAATATCACTGTTGATTCTCTGTGAACAGTTTCATGTGTGATTTTCTTCTTCTTCATGTTCATCGGTTGTAAACTTTTGAAGACTTTATAGTCTTGTTCTAGAACATTTGAGTTTTGCATGCAGATCTGGCTTATAGGTAAGCAGACTGTTGGTTTCTCAGGCAGACACCCTCAGACTTCTAAGGAAACACCTCTATTTGTCGAATTTTACGAGCTTGTTAGTAGGCAGTGGGTCTATTCTTTTCACCCCAAATCTGGGGTCTCAGAATGTGTCATTGTCCACCAGGGTTTGGGAGCATTTACATTTTTCTTGTTATTTATATTATTGTTACCATATTTTCTGTGTTTTAAAATAGTTTCTGGGTGTTCTGTTCAGTGCATCTACATTCCACAGGAGATTATGACTGGTCTCTGCGTTTGTGTTGACGTAAAGATATGATGTTTCGGTGCACATGAGGTCTATTAGACTAGTTGTTATTAACTATAATGTACATTTTAAATTTGTGTCTTCCTTTGCATACATAAATGTATTTTGTTGTAATTTTTTTTAGCTTACCTGGTTATTGTGGATGTATATGATTCCTGGATAAACACATTTTAATCAGTGTTTGTACTTTTTATTTGATGAATTCGTCAAGACCCTTGGGTAAATGGTCACCCACTTACTTTGCTGTGAATCTTCTATTTTTTAATTTGTATTTACCCTCAAAAGTAAGATTGGTACATTGTAATGTGATTTACAGCTAGGCTGCGATAGCTGTGTTTTTCGGGCAGCACATCAGATTTCAGCAAACCTTCTTCACCGGCTGTAAACACTGGTGGAAAATTCTGGTTGTTCATTCACTTCTGGACCTTGATCTTGTTGCAGAACCTACATTTTGCATGCACAACAGTTTTACAGATCTTGGTTATTTGCATACAGGCTGTTAGTTTCTCACCTCTCAGGCAGATGAAGAGAAACACCTGTAACTAGTCAACTCTTATGACATGCTTGTTGAGGGCAGTGGGTAAATATTTTCCCACATTAGGGCCCCAGAACCCACACAGGGGCCCCAGAACCCACATTGGGGCTCCACAACCCACACAGGGAGTGGGTCTGTTAGTGGCTTTTTATGACATGCTTGTCAATGATCATTGTGTTGATTCTTCTTCTCCATCCATATCCAGTGGGGCTCTGGCACCGACACAAAGAGAATCTCCAGGGTTTAATTCCTGGTGATGTGTCCCAAGACATAGAATACCACAACTATGCTGTTGAGATATTTAAAACATAAGCACTCTTGCCTTCCAGCTGGGTGTCATGTTTTCAAATCCCCATTAAGGCAAGGCATTTTTAATACACTTGGGCTTAAAGGTCAGTACAGCCAGAAATGGCTACTAGGAAATATTTTGAGAAGTAAAGCTGATTAGTGAGGAGCGGCTGGCCAAATGGTTAAAGCACTGGGCTATCAAGTGGGAGACCCGGGTTCAAATCCTCAGCAAGACTGGGGACTTTTTCTGTCAGGGGCACACAAAAATCCTCACCTTCACAGTTGTGGCGACGGCACTAGCCATGTGGCCGTAAATCATCAGGCTCAAAGACCAACCCCCCCCCCCCCCCCCAATCGCAAAAGTGGTATGATTAAGGCAGTAACATGCTGTCCAGGAAGACATGGGGTTTGCACCAAAAAGGGCCCCTTTCCCACATACCCTGTATGTTGTATGGCATGGAAAAGAATGATTTAATGTCTGACAGATTAACAAATGGTGACCTCTCTGCACTGTCAATAAAAGGTCCCCTTTAGATGCCAGAAATCAAGTAAAGGACCTGTTCCAAGCCCTCAGGTGTACTAGGCATATAGGGCTAGATATATATATATATTTATAGACCAAACAGCACTTGGTGGGTGATGTGGTCACCATAATGATGCCTGCCTTTACTTCCCAGGACTTCCTGGTACCTGGCTGGGAGCCAAGGTAATTTAAAGTCTGGCTCCACCAGGACCTGAACCCACAGCCTCCGGATCTGCAGGTGAGCATCCAGCCGCTGGATAATGGTGGCTGTCTCTCTCTCTCTTTTCATGTAACTGCAGTTAACTGATTATGTGCTTCTAATTTTGAGAAAAAATTGTGTAGCCCAAATTGCCAAATAAATTGAAAAAAATTTTTAGCCAGTTAATTTAGATACAATTAAAAAAAAAAAAAATCTGATAATAGCTGTATTTTCTGTATAAAACGAATCTTTATTCGTATTCAAATCATCGTTGTCATTACAAGAAATTATTTACATATGAAATATCACAAGCCTCAAGTCCTCGCATAATAATCATTTTTTTTTTTTTTTGGAAGTGTTCTGTCAAAACCACTAGAAAGCAGAAATTTTTAGTGTTTCATTAATTAGTCCAAGAATCAAATCTGTATCAGTGATCACTGGTGAATTAGTGGTGCTTTATGTGATTAATTGCTGCCTCCATCAATGATGAAGTGCATTTCTAGTATTAGTCTGTTTGCGTTGGCATTTCTGACAGCTGCCTTTTGCGTTTAATGTGTGGATTTGCTGAGATTGCAGTATATCTCAGTTTACCCAGAAGGGACAGCGATGGATATGCTGTGTGGTTTTTGTTGGCACAAGAACGAAGCGACTATAGGGAAGAACTCATTTTCTGCAAAATTGGAACTGCGATAACCCGATTTATTTTACACAATCCAGCAATCAACAGTAGCTGTCACATCAACCAATAGCACATCATCTCACCAAGGGGGCAAGTGGCAACAGTACACCACTAGCTGTCACATCAACCATCAACACATCTTGCCAGTGGCAACAGTACACCACTAGCTGTCACATCAACCATCAACACATCTTGCCAGTGGCAACAGTACACCACTAGCTGTCACATCAACCAATAGCACATCATCTCACCAAGGGGGCAAGTGGCAACAGTACACCACTAGCTGTCACATCAACACATCTCACCAAGGGGCCAGTGGCAACAGTACACCACTAGCTGTCACATCAACCATCAACACATCTTGCCAGTGGCAACAGTACACCACTAGCTGTCACATAAATCATCAACACATCTTGCCAGTGGCACCAATACACCACTAGCTGTCCCATCAATCATCAACACATCTTGCCAGTGGCATCAATACACCACTAGCTGTCACA